AAGCAACTCTGGACATTGCTTGGTCCACCCTCGTTGACCTTCTTGGCTTTGTGGTCAGCCTGCTGCCCCTGCTGGAAGGGCCTCTTGTGGTTCCCGCCCTTCCAAGGCGTTGCTTGCTGCCTTCCGCTTGGACCCGCAGTGCTAGACGACGGCCTTGAGGCCTACTGCGGCTGGGTGGTGGTTTTTGCATAAGCACGGAAATGCTTATCAGTGTTCCCCACCACGCGCTTCACATGAACGTAGGACCTCCATGCCTCCCCAGCCCCATCCGTCATGTGCATGTTCTTGAGGTGTTCAGGCAACCCCCTGAAGAACAGGTGGATCTTTTTGCCTTCGCTCATACGTTCCGCCGGTTTCTGCAGCACCCAGATCTCCTCGAACACAACTGCGTACTACTGAACTGTGCGGTTCCCGCATTGCAGCTTATCAAGGCGGCTGCACACCTCCAGCTGGGTCGGTTGGACCTGGAAAGATTGCTTGAGTGCGGAGGCAAATTCCTCCCACCCAAACGGCTTCCTATCCGCCCCAGCCTAGAGCTTGCTGCCATACACCACTCGCTGTGCATTCTGGTCCAGCACGGTGGTGGCAGCGACGACGCGAGCGTCGTCATGGACCTTGTGAGCCTTGAAAAGGTCGGTCATCATCGACAACCACGCAGCCACGTCCGTCTTGCCATGGATGAATGGCGGCAGGGTAATTGGCAGAGAACCAAAAGCCTGCGTGCTCGGCTTAGCAGCGCACTGCGTAGGAGGTCCGGGGTCGCCCGCCACACCAACAGAGCGAGAAGGGTTGGTGCGACCGCTAGCAGAGTTGGCAGGCGGGTCCGCTCGTGGTGCAGGGCGGTACATGGTCTCCCTTCGGAGGTCAGTGAAAGCCTCGCGCAGCTCGTTGATCTTTGAAGTCTGTCTCGCCAGCTGATGAACGTGCTCCCGTGCGTCGTGCTTCATGTTCTTAAGCTCAACTTCCAGGTACTTGATTTTGCTGTCCTGGTCAGAGAGCTCCCCCCTGAGCGTGGAGATGAGAGACTGCTACTGCTGGATGCGCATATCCTGCTCAGCAGCGTGATCCTGCAGCTTAGCAATTTCAGCATGTAGAATATCCTCTTCCCCTTCCAACTCAATGTCATCCTCCTGAGACTCCCCTTCCTGCTCCTTGGAATTTTCAGCAGCTGAAGGATCCTTAGCAGGGGAGTTTTCAGCAGGTTCTTTTCCAGCCATTTCCTCATTCATGTTGTTGAGGTCAATCTTCTACACACAAACTTCCAGTTCAGCCTGGGAGTTGTTGCCTTCAACACCACCAGCATTGGAGTTGGTAGAAGCCATTTAGAGCAAAGTCACTGTATTATAAAAATGAGTTACAGATCTACTGCAAATTGTTACCACCGCAGTGAATAACCAAGATTTTCTTCAGAGGAGAAATTTCTTCAATAGATCTTACAACCACAACAATGTGAAAAACACCTCTGTTGCAAAATATCCTTACCACCACAGTGGATAAGGCAAGAACAATCACAACGTGATTGTCTTCAACAGAGAATGTTAATCCACACAGGTTGCAACTTCTTCACAGTAGCTCCAATGGTTCCACCAGCAGGGAGGGAGGGAGGGAATAAAACTCTTGGAGAAGCTTCCAAATTTTGAAAACTTGAGCCAGAGTAGCTTGTAGTCTTCAAAAGCTTATAATAGAAATTACAATGCAAATTACAACCTCTCCAAGAAAAAAGCAAGTCACAAAATCCTCTTATATGCCCACAAGGCCAGGATCTACTTGTAGCTCTGATACCAATGTAGCGGATCTGGTAGTACAAAGGGCATTTACCCACTCAATAATAGGTTCTAATGCAACAAGAGAGTAGCAGCTCCTGAAAAACTACTAAGTCTGAAAAGTGCTAGGAGATGCAGTCACAAACTGTGGAGGGAGAGTTGAGAAGAGAGAAATCTCATTTCCCAATTGACTAGTTGGGAGTAGGAAAAATGGAAAGAATGAACCAGAATGGCTCAGACCCCTTCCCTAGACCCCCTTGGGGTGCAGCCACCTTCCCCATGGCAAGGAAGGGTGCACCACCATGGGTCTTTACCCATGTGGCAATGTTTGGGATTTCCAACCAATTAGACAATAGACAGCAAGGACAACAATGCACACTTATCACAAACCTGAGTTGTTGCATTGGTTGCAATTACAAGGAAGAGTCGAGTTGGATTTAAGTTGGCTGTTTCTGATTGGTTCGATTTCCAACCAGCGGCGGAAGTCCCGTCGACTCACTTTGTGTGAGTATGATGTGATTGGTTGGACAAGTGTGATGTTTGAACTTACGTGGGTTGTTTTCAAACCTATCGCGTAAGTTCTGTCACAATTTGGATAGCATAGTTCTGATTGGCTAGTTTCCAATCAAACTCCAACCAATCCTGTTTCTCCCCTTGTTTCCCCCTCACAGCTGGTTCGACGTATCGAGACCAGGGGGGGGTTGGGTCCGAATGTTACCTCCTCCTCCTCCTCCTCCTCCTCCTCCTCCTCCTCCTCCTCCTCCTCCTCCTTCTCCTTCTCCTCCTCCTCCTCCTCCTCCTCCTCCTCCTCCTCCTCCTCCTCCACCTCTACCTCCACCTCCTCCTCCTCCTCCTCCTCCTCCACCTCTACCTCCACCTCCTCCTCATCCTGCCCATTCTCAATGGCACCACCCGCTGCAGTTGCATTGGGCACCAACACTGCCTCTAACAACACTCCTTCCGGTCCTGCTGCTGCTGCCGCTTCTGCTGGTGTTTCTTTGATTTCAGTAGCCATGCCCCCTTCTGCTACATTGTCATTTGACCAAGGAAAAGAGGGAGGAGGACAACGAGAAGTATCGACCCATTATGCCCACCGGTCAGCATTTGAGGCGCAGGGGTTGGCCTGGTCAGGGCAGGGTGAAGTTGGGTTAAGGAGACAAGGGGAGGGTCTGGGGGAAGGGAAGGATGGGCAGTGGGAGGGGCAGGGAGAATTGAAAGAGGAGCGAGGCGAGGCGAGGGGGTTGCAGTGGCGGGAGGATGAGGAGAGGTAGCGAGTGCACTCAGCTGTGCAAGAGAGTGAGTAACTGCAATATAATGTTTCCTTTGTTTTTCCATCGTGTTGTGTTTCTGCATGCCTGTAGTCTACGACTTTGATTGAACTCTGAATTGCTCTTCTGTGGCACCTGCTTTCGAAGTATTGAACAAATTCCGACCTGATTTATTACTCAAGGAGCTTGCCTCCTTCTGTTCATCTCTTCCTACACTCATACCTGCCTGGCTTGCGATCTGCCCTTCTTTCTCCCCTGCAGCATTCCTTCTTTCTTTCCTTCTTTCTTGGGGATCGCCTCCCCTTCATGTTTAGACGTGATTGCTACCGCTCCGCCTGCTGGCTCATCTTCTTCCCCCCTCTTTCTCCTCCTCATCCCGACACTTCCTCCTCTTCCCCATGCTCTCTCGCATCCACACCCATGCGCAACAACACCAACTAGTAGTTTGTCATGTGTTGTGTTTTCCCGTAAAGAGACTGGTTGATGCCGTAGAGAGAGAGACTGGTTGATCTCGAGAGACACACAGAGACTCACACACTCCCACACTCAGCATGGCCTCTCGGACATGGGGCACAGCCGCATCCTTTGTCGTAGCACCCTCGCCGATGCGTATATTCTGACGTGTTTCTAAGGGATACTGTAATGGGCTCTTTTTGACCCGGGGCGCAGCAATGCTGTTGCACTGCAGTAGTTGCCTTTTTGGAACCCAATTACGGTAGTCTGTTTGGTACATACTTCCTTTCCAACCATGGATCCAATCAACTGCAGTTCTGAAGTGCGGCGTTCTAGGTGCGGCCTCCTAGAACCGTCAGACGTCACTTTGAGTGCACAAAGAAAGGGTAGATGCAGGGTACGTGGTATGAAAATGGACAGCTGGCAGCATGCTATTGGTGTGGACGGCAAGCAGGCCGGCGGCAATCCAGAGGGAGGGACATGTTGGGGAAGAGGAGTAAGAGGGAGAGTTGGAGGTGGTGAAGAGTGTTGGAGAAAGCATGGCAGGGGCAGTGCTGATCCTGAGGAAAAGATGCAGGAAAGGGGATAGTGCAGGGAGGAAAGAGGGGAAGGATACAGAAGAGACGAAAGTGAGTGAAGATAGGAAAGAACAAGTGACTTCGAATGGATGAGAAAGAGTGCGGGCTATGGGAAGGAAGGAATTTACCACCTCAAAAAGAAGTAAAGGGAAGGAATGGGTGGACTATCGAGAGAGTTGGGTACAAGTAACAAACCCTATACCCCACATTGGCTACCCCACTACAGCCTACATATAATTATAATATATACATTTAGTTTGACACACCCCCATAGGCAAAGTGGGGGAGAACAAGGGGTCACAAGACCGGTCAAGAAAAGCAAAGCAAGCTCGGGGTGGATCACAACGTCACCACACACACTGAGCACAAGCAGAGGGCCACAAGGCCAGTTCACATGCAGAGCTATATATGCAACAACAGCAGTACAGTGATCACTACCTAGCAAGAGTAAGCATGCAGGTATATATATGTAGATCACAGTACAAGCAAAGTCTACAGCAAGTGAGGAAACGTAGGCACCAGGCCTAGAGCAGTGCAGAAGCGCTGATGATCACCAGCCGGAAGGGCCTTGGTGAACACATCAGTTGTGTTAGCCCGGGTGGGCACGTGAGCGACACAAAGCTGACCACGCTGCTGCAACTCTCGAGCAAGGAAGTAACGCACAGCGATGTGCTTCATTCTGTGCTCTAGTCTGTGGTCCTGACACAAGGCAATGGCAGCCTTGTTGTCGACGTACAGAACTGGAGGAGAACGAGGCCTCTCTCCCAAGTCGGTCAGTAGGTAGGTGAGCCAGCGTAACTCCTGTGCAGCCATGGCTGTGGCGTAAATCTCAGCCTCACAACTGGAGCTGAGAACAGAAGACGAGTGAGTAGACCGCCAAGAAACAGAGCCTGAGCCAAGGCCGAACGTGTAAGGGCGCCGTGTGCGACGCCGCCGCGATGGCCGTCCTCGCGCTGCCGCTTGCCGCGGCGGACTGGCAGCAGCGCGCGGGATGGTGGCTGCTGCACGCGGAGGCGCGCCTCGACGCGTTCCTTGAGAACACGGACACCGCCACCCTCGACGCCCTGCTCGCCGTGCTCCCCACCGCCTCGCTTCCGCCCATCAGCGGCGGTGGGCGCAACGGCGGCGGCATCGCTGGCGGAGGCAGCGCGGGGGGCGCACGGAACGGGCAGGGCGGGAGGCGCATGAGGCTGGGGATGGGGCGAGAACTGCTGATGTGTGCATTCGGCCGCGCTGCTAGGCAGGAGGGACAGAAGCAGGGGGGGCAGCAGCAGCAGCAGGGGGGAGCGCAGCAGCCGCCTACAGGTGGATTTCCAGGTGGCGATGGCGGAGTGAACAGCACGGTGAGCGGGTATGCTGTGCTGGCAGGCAGCAGCGCAGCAGGTGTGACGTGGGGTGGGCAGCTCATGGGGGCCAAGATGCCCTCCGCTGCTGTTTAATGCACCACTGCTGTGCTGCTGCTGCTGCCGCTGCTTGATGAGTCTATGGCTGGCTGACAGGGTTGAGTTAAGAGGTGTAAACCCAGGCCGATGCAGGTTGAAAACGCTGCTGCTTGTTGCATCAGTGCTGCGAGGATGGCTGTGGCGTCAGCTAGGTTCATGATGAACAAGCGCATGCAGGTTGCTGCTGTTGCAGCTCACGGCTGCTGCTGTCGTGGTTGTGATTGTCCTGAGGGCTTCTCAGCCGTGTGTGTGTGTGTCTGGATAGGTTGTCTTAGATTCGTGGGGAGTAGCTAAGATGGGTCAAAGGATCAGGGGCAGGAATGCTGGCAAGGCATCAGGGGGCTCCAGCTGACTTGCCAGTCTTCCTACCTCTGATTGTCCCAGTGATGCCTGTGTTGTTCATAGCAATCAGTGTCATTTCTGTGTGCGTGGCATTGCAATGTTTCCATTGATGTCAGAGATGAGCTGAGGGCTGCTCAACTCGTGGATAGCAATAGTTTCCTCCTAAAGCTCAAAAGAGCTACTCAAGCTGCTTTCTGTCAGCAGCAAACCGCTCTAGGCAGGAGCATACCATCCGTTGTTTATTCCGTATAGCGATTCCAACGATGGCGAGATCGTGTGCTTGACCCTAGCCAGCCATGCTCTTATTCGTTTTTTCGATCAGTTTATAGCAGGAAGATCGTCGTAGGGGAGGTGACACATCGGGTGGCGGAGGGTTCCGCGGGAAGGCTGGTGGAGGAGCTGGGGGAGAGGACTCCCTCCTCAGTGGTGGCGGACGTGTGTAGCGGCGATGATGAAGCAATAATGATGTACAGCACTGACACTCCGCGCAGAGAGGTGGACGGCCTTTTGGGGACAGGAGCCTATGGCGGGACTAGCAGTAGTAGCGACTACGGGACTAGCAGGAGATCGTAATTGGGGGGGGAGAACATTGTGCGGTTAAGGGAGGGGCACCACTAGCTGCAGGTGCAGAGAAGGGCGTGCCACGTGGCGTGGTGATATTGGTTGTCGTGTTCCTGGACCTGTTTGCAATGGGCATGGCCATGCCGCTCGTTGTGCCGCTGATTCAGGGGCTACGTACGCCCTTTCCCCTTGCCTCTGTCTCTCTGCCCATCCCCGTTGCCCCTTCCCATTGCCCCTCACCTTTGATCCTTCCCTTTGCTCCTCACCTTTGCTCCTCCCCTTTGCCCCTCCCCTTTGCCCCTCCCCTTTGCCCCTCCCCCTTCCGTTCCCCTTCCCTTTGCTCCTTCCCTTTGCCCCTCCCCTTTGCCTCTTCGCCTTGCCAGCCCCCTTTGTCCCTTCCTTTTGCCCCTTCCTCTTCCCTTTTCCTTTTGCCACTTTCCCTTACCCCTTCCCTTTGCCCCTCGCAACTGCCCCTCCCCCTGTCCCTTCCACATGCCCCTTCTCATTTCCCCTCCCCCCTATCCCCACCCTTACCCCACCCTTGCCCCTTTCTAGTGCGCCTTTCCTTTGCCTATTTTCCGTTGCCCTGCCTCCCTGCCCCTCAACATGCGTCCATCCCCCCTGCCCCTTCTCCCTGCCCTCTCCTAGCCCTTTTGCCTGACCCTTCCCTTTTTCCGTGCCCCCCTGCCCCTCAACCTGCGCCCCTGCGCTCTACTCCTCTCCTCCGGTTCCTGGTGTGCTGCCTCTGAACCCACTGTCCGCGTTAGGAGCGTCCCCTGTACAGGTCGGCTTCCTTTCGTCCACATGGGGGGCTGTGCAAGTCGTTATCAGGCCATTCTTCGTGTCACGGTGAGAGAAGGAAGAACGGCAGGGGGGGAAAGAGAGGGTGGGGAAAAGGGAGAGGGGGGCGGCAAGTATAGTTCCGGTTAGGGCAGAGCACCCGTGTGAATGCCGGGAGGGATGGGGGATGTGAGGGAGGTTGCCTGCTGCTCGAAGGGACTCAGTTCGCCCTGTGCTCGTGCCTAGGGCAGACCGGACCAGTATAACAGTGAGGTGAGAGAAACGTGATGCACCGGGTGACAAGTAAGTAGAAACTGCAATCAATTGCTTTTGAGGTGACTTGGAGAACAACAGAGAATATCTCTCGTTGCTGTGTGCATGCCTCACTCTCGTTACATACACGCATGACCTTACATGGCCTCTTCCTTACGTTCCCCTTCGCAAAAATTTTATCTCCCCGAATCATGTTCTGGCACGTAGGTTCTGCCATTTGATTTCATCTCTACTCTGCGTTTCAAGCATGAGCCGATTCACTTGGTGCAGATGGAGATTCGCCTGCCATATATTTTTCTTCCTTGCAGTTAGATTTGTAGCCTTCTTGAAACCTCCCTATTACTGCTGGCACAGAGAACTTGTGTCATTGTGAGAGAAGCAGGGGAGGGGCGAGCTGCTTGCTACTAGGGAACAACACGAGTGTAAGGGTGAGAGAAGAATGACACAGCACGTGACTTGTAGAAAGAAAGCCTTGCTAGTTGCTCTTGAACTGACCTCAGAACAAAACTGATTCTGTGCACTCTCCCTCTTCCCTCTTGTGCCCACTCCTGCACATCTTAGATGATGCTCAACTCATGTTCCTGCTTAGCCTGGTTTCACATAGTTGCATTGTCTCACTTCACGTCTCTCTCTTCATGTATGAGTCGACCATTCGGGTGACTTAGATGGTGTCTGGTGTGATGAATTCAGCCTTCTTAAAACTTTCTCTTTGCGGAGATTCAACAAGCAATGACAACAATGACTACATCAGGCACCTAGCAACCCTGCAGCTAGCCTGGTCGACCGCCAGCACAACTTGGTCGACCGCCTGCCAGCGTTGCGTAGAGGAGCCGCGCGCCAGCACTGCAGAAGGGCGACCTGCCAACTCTGCAGGTCGACGGCTTGCCAATGCTGTAGTAGTGCGGCTGTCCAGCGTTGCCCCGTAGAAGACAGCAGTGCGCACGCTCGCAGGTGCGCGCTGACGATTGGTCCGGCTTGCATCGCTGTGCATCCGTCGGCTATTGTCTGCGCCTGACGAGCCACATCGACTTTGGGATACCCGCCCAAAGTCGCCTTCGCCATCGCGGCCTCGACGACGTTCGCGTGCATCCGCAGAACTCGTCGAGCAGGTTACCCGGTTGACCTGGACACCACCAATGCCTCCGGTCGACCACCAGGTGCCTCCTATCGACCACAGATCCTTCTGGTCGACCACCAGGTGCCCCTGGTCGACCATAGCTCCCGTCGAGCTACCCCCTGGTCGACGGACCCCTTCCGGCGACCAGAACTGTCAGCGGTTGTCGCCGAGCTCCCCTCGTCGACCGGTGCTCACTTGTCAGGTCGACGGCTGCTCCGTCGACCTCCCCGGTCGAACTGTAGGTCGACGGAATGCTGCGTCGACCTCCCGGTCGAGCTGCCCCTCCTGGTCGACGCGTCGCCCAGCCTAGTCAGTTGCAGCTGTCGAGCTCCTTGGTCAACTGCAACACCACAGCGGTCCCCTGCAGCTCGACAAAGCCTGTCGAGCAGCTCTCCCACTGTGAACGGTTGGCTGCTACTCCCATACATCCGACCAAAGCGTCGGCGTTGCCCAAGCGAGGGCGGAGCCAACACTCCACTCCCGTTAACACTCCCTTGCCGCGCTCACGCTTGGGCTCCCCCAGCCCACAAGGCAGTACTCTACGGAGAAAACTCGTCCTCGGCGTGCACCCCACACACAGCACGCCGTCACTGCACCAGCCGTGCAGAGGGGCACGGCACCTACTGCTGCACCTCATCGTCGCTGTCGCCGACGTCGGCCAGACGAACTTGGCCGATGGCGACAGAGCACCGGTTGAAAGCCGGAAAATGCAGCGCCTTTGTCATGAAATCGGCCGGCTGCTGGGTGGTCGGGATGTACTTCAGCACGAACTTCTCGCGCCTCACCATGTGCTGCAGCCAGGCGTAGCGTCGCTCCATGTGCTTGAGGTTGCCCATCAGCCCCATGCCCTCAGCGACCGTGATCGCCGACTTGTTGTCCACCCGGAGGATTGTCAGCTTTCCAGCGTCAAGCTGCTTGAACTCCACAAGGAGGAAGCGAAGTCGGCGTCCCTCCTTGCCAGCATCCGTGGCCGCCACGTACTCAGACTCGGTCGACGACAATGTCGCGCACTTGATACGCGAGCTCGACCAGGAGACGGCGGCCCCTCCGTAGACGAACACGTAGCCGCCCGTGCTCGTCCGGTTCTGCTTGTCGCCCGCATCATCGGCGTCCACGTAGCCGATCAGCTCCAGCGACTCTGGTCCACCGCAGAACTCCAGGGCGGTGTCGCGGGTGTCGGCGAGGTAGGCGAGGCAGCGGTCGACCTCGCGCCAATGCTGGTCGCTCCTCACCGTGTGGCCACTTCCCAGCTTGCTGCAGGCGAAGGCGATGTCCGGCCTCGTCGTCGTCCTCGTCGTGTGTCGGTATTCCTCCTCCTCGCGCGCCTGTGCCTCCTCGTCGTCGAACGTCAGCTCCGCGTAGGCGTCGACAGAGACCGGAGTCTTAGGGACTCGTCCGCCCTGCTCCTCGTCGATGAAGCACCTGCGCAGCTTGTCGGTGTAGCCCTGCTGGTGCAACCACAGCGGCCTGTCGCGCACGATCTCTAGCCCAAGGTACTTCACCACCGGGGAGATCTCACGCAGCTCGAAGGCGGCCTCCAGCAGCTCCTTCAGCTCCTTCAGCATCGCGGTGCTGCTTAAGGAGAATACTATTCTACGGGAGAGCTTGACTAGCGTGGGACACACAGTCAGAGTTCTGGCAGTGATTCTCAGGAGTGAACTTAGATGTCTTGGTAGAATTCAAGCATAGTTCCACTAGCAGAAATTGATTGAACAAGATTATGGTACAAGCAAGGAGAACCAAATAGCAAGAACAATGAACCCTAGAGAAACGTTCCTCGGCTAACACCTGACTTATCCGAGTCAGCAACGGCAGGTGAAACGACAAGCACATGTGTCTTTCACCTGAGTTGGCAGTTTCTCAGGTTTACAGCTTTCAGAGTTGTTTACGTTTTTACTGTTAGTAAAAACGTGTTTCAGGTTCA